TGAAGGGGTAGCCAAAGAGTCACCTGAATGAATACGTCCTCCAGGTGTTCCTTGAAGCTCTGCTGGGGGCCAATAAGGAAACATTCCAACATCTCAAAAATCCTGTTCCATGGAACTGCACAGCCCAACTTGTGAAAGGAACAGAAGATAAACCCACCTACACACCAGGTGTTTCTTGGAACTGTGGATTTCCTTCGGTAAACATTTGATAATCTCCCCCACAGTTCCATGGAACTGCACAATAAGCCTAAATACAACAATGTCTATAATCATCGCCCATCACTCAAATGGTTATCAATGTCATTCTAGCCTTTGGTCCAGTCTCACTTGGCTTGCCGGTTTTTGAGGTATCTGAAGAAGAAGAAGAGATTGGATTTATACCCTGCCCTTCACTACCCAAGGGAGTCTCAGAGTGGCTTACAACCTCCTTTCCCTTCCCCTCCCCACAACACTGTGAATAGGTGGGGCTGAGAGAGCTCTTGACCGAAACTGCTCTTTTTCAAGGACAGCTCTTATTAGAGCTACGGCTTGCCCAAAGTCATCCAGCCAGGTGCAAATGGAGGAGTGGGGAATTATTGTGTAGTGAGTTGAACGCGTGTCGAAACCACTGAGACCGATGTACTGCTCAGCATGATTTACTGGTACACAACAAAGACAAAGACAAACGGCCGGCTGGCCAACTATATACACACCTGGGGACACACCCCTAGGTCCTGTTGGTAGGTTTAAATCTCCTGTCACGGTCCCATTGGTCCCCCAGTGGAGAGACCAGGAGCCTAGTCCCCATTGTTCCTCCAGAGTCAAGCTCTGGAGTGTTCGCTGGCCCCTGGTGGCAGTCAGCGGACACAACATCCCTCCCCCCATCGTTCGGAACAGGAATCAAACCCGATTCTCCCATTTTAGAGTCCGCGCACTTAACCACTACACCAAACTGGCTCTGCTTCCCACCAACTTGCCGACAGCTCCCAAGGGGACAGTAAGTCACTGAGTATTAGGTCCACGGTTTTAACATGGAAACATTATTCAATTGGCTTGCATCCGTCCAGTGCTAGTGCGAACAATGACCTTGAATACGGCTCCGGAGTCAAGTGTGCATGAACAAACTGAACCTGAACCTGTAGTATCATGAACAACAGGCCACGTCAGGTTTGCTTCAACTGGAGAAGGGTTTTTTTGTGTGTAACTGACCCATTCTTTCCCTGTGGCTGGACCTTCTTTTAGTTTGTTAAGTATGCAACACAACAACAAAATAAGTAATAAGTGATTCAAGAACTTCCAAGATCACACAACATCTGACGACACACCACAAAACAACACTGGAGCACAGCTCCTTTTAAACTCTCCCGGGCTGGGGTAGCCACGCCTTCTCATAGTTAACATCCAATCAGATTGTAAAGATAACATCCAATCATTTGTCTTCCCTCCAGCACAGACTCTTACATTTCATTGGTTACATAACACGCTTCAGCCAATGGTGTTGTTTCATCTTAGAATCCGGCTGAGGTCTCAAGCTTAACATAGGTTTAGATGGAGTGAATACACAACATAGCTGGCCTCTCAATCAGCTTGCTCAGCAACTCACATACAGGAGCCTTGCAGGGCCAAAACCAAAGGACATGCAAAGCCAGAAACTCACCCCAGAGGCTTCTTGTAGACATTAAAACAGAACTCAGACAAGACGGTGGTGATACAGACCAGCATGGTTGATGCTGAACACATGAACACAGGCTCGTAGCCACAGTGGGGCATTTTCTGGCTACACCCCTGTATGAACACATGAGCTTTTCATGGCATGAACACATGAAACTGCCTTCTACTGAATCAGACCATCGGTCCATCCAAGTCAGTCTTGTCTACTCAGACTGGCAGTGACTATCCAAGGTCTCCAGCAGAGGTCTTTCACATCACCTACTGCCTGGACCTTTTAACTGGGACTGAACCAGGGACCTTCTGCATACCAAGCACAGGCTCTACCACTGAGCCATGACCCTTCCCCTAGAGGGAACTGACCTTCCTACAGATGGCCTGGGTCCAGGGACTCCATCCTGTGTCCTGCAGTGTAGCACCCACTTGTGATTTCCCCCCAGTTGTCAGCTATGCTGCCATGGGGGTTGGAATGCTCTTTCAGTGTCTGTGTAAATTGTTTTCGCATTCCTTTCTCTCCGCTGGGCACTGTAATGCTTATCTTTTAAGAAGTACAGGTGGCGATGTGTGTTGTCTGCCGACCAGGCTGATCGTGGGAGCAGAACATTTCCCAGCTTTGCATGGTAACGCTTGCCGACTCTAGCCTTGCGCAGGAGGGTGTCTAATTGGCCATACCAGTGGGGTGTGTGTGCATACGAATGCCCTATATCTCATTAGGTTCAACAGGAAACGGTTATTCTTAACAGTGACTATGTTAATGCATCTATGGCTCTTCAATAAAAGTATAACCTTTCAAAGAAGTGTGTACTCCGTTGTTGGCTGAGGTTCTGACACCAGTTCCGGAAAGTGTGGTGCAGCCTACTTGGAGAAGGAATTTAAGCCTCCCCCCAAATACACACCATTGCCTTGACCTGAAATGATCATGGAAGGGTGCTATTTGGCCTGTTGAGGAAACTCGCTGAGGCAGATAGGCATTTCCCCCATGGGCCAACAGCACATGCTTGGGACTATTGCAAGCTGGGAAAACAAGCCAGGCGTGAAGGCCGATGCCCCTTCTCGATGGGCGCCACTCTCACAATCTGAATTGGGTACTCTGTGTGTGGGGGAATGGGGGAGAACCTGCAATTCATGCATGGCTGATCCACGGTACACAGGGTGGGTTATATTGATGAAGGATGGACCCAAGATGAACCAGGAAAGAAGCACAAAGTCTCTCACTGGGGTGAGCTAATAAAAGGAAAAGGAAATTCTTCAAGTCACAACTCCACAAAACCTGTCTTAAAGGTCCTGTTCATCTTCTATACAGGTCTTGGCAGGTTATTTTATATATTGATAATTTTATAACTGCATTTTCATCAGCAGTAAGCCTCCTCAGCAGTAACAGGAAAAGGGAAGAAGAACTCAGCATAAACCCTGGCTGACTGCTTGCTGAACTTCTCTTTTTTAAATTTTCTAATCTTTGGTGGGAAGATAACAGTGTTCCGTGCACCTCGGCATCTAGTCATGCTGGCCATATAACCACGGAAATATCTGCAGACAGTGCTGGCTCTTCAGCTTGGAAACGGAGATGAGCACCGCCCCCTAGAGTTGGATTCGACTGGCTTTTGAACAAGGGAAACATTGACCTTTGTTTTAATCTTCAAGCCACACCTCAGCAAACCTGCCTTAAAGGTCCTGTCCATCATCTATAAAGATCTTGGTGGGATATTTTATATAATGATAGTTGTATAACTGCCTTTCCCTCAGAAGGAACCTCCTAACAGGAAAAGAGAATAACCAGTACGTTGGGGAACCTTCGAAACCAGCACGTTTCTTGTGGCGTGAAGCTCTGTGTGCCAGAGACAGATCCTAATGGGATATGCATGGGACAGAGAAAGTAGAGAAAGATGTACTTTCCCCCCTTTCTCACAATACAAGAACTCGTGGGCACTCAATTAAATTAATGTGCAGCAGGCTTTGAACAGATCAGAGGAAATATTTCTTCATCCATAGAGTAATTAGCACGTGGAATTCACTGCTAAAAGAAGTGGTGGCGGCTACAAGCATAGACCGCTTCAGGAGGGGACTGGATGAACATATGGAGCAGAGGTCCATCAGTGGCTATTAGCCACAAGGTATAGGTTTTGGCTGGGGCTGCGATGCTCTGTATTCTTGGTGCTTGGGGGGCAATAGTAGGAAGGCTTCTGGAGTTCTGGCCCCGCTGGTGGACCTCCAGATGGCCCCTTGGTGTTGGCCACTGTGTGACACAAGAGTGTTGGACTGGATGGGCCTCTGGCCTGATCCAACATGGCTTCTCTTATTGTCTTAAATACACGAGGCTCTGTTTTTTTAAAAAAACTGCTGCTGCTCCAAGCAGCGGCAAGCTATGGGGCCTGGGGGCCCCATGGCTCTGTCTTTCAGGCTGCAAGTTGCAGTCTGGTTACTGCACTGCCCTATTCAGTGGAACCAAATCCTTTTGGAAGAGAAGTGGATGCGAAGAATCCCCACCGTGGTGGATGAGTGAAGTGGGACTTAACTCACCGCCAAGTTTTGCAAGCGAGAACCGGCTGTTTCACTGAACTCAGAGAGAGACCCTTGCCATTTCCCGTTCACGGCTTGCATGTATGAGTTAGCTGCACCAGTTCTGTATGGTGAAATGGAGGAGTTCATGAACTTTTGACTTTACATCTGTTTGCCTTGCAGGTTCTGTTCCTGAATTAGAGGAAGAAGAAGAGAGATTGGATTTATACCCTGCCCTTCACTACCCAAAGGTGTCTCAGAGTGGCTTACAAACTCCTTTCCCTTCCCCTCCCCACAGCAGACACCCTGTGAGGTTGGTGGTTCTGAGAGAGCTCTGACAGAAACTGCTCTTTTTTCAAGAACAGCTCTTACCAGAGCTACGGCTTGCCCAAGGCCATCCAGCCAGGTGCAAGTGGAGGAGTGGGGAATCAAACCCGGTTCTCCCAGATTAGAGTCCGCGCACTTAGCCACGACACCAAGCCCGACAGAACCCACACAGAACGAGGCGATGAGAACGTTTGCCAAAAGCTTTGATGAAGTCCAGATATATACCTGGCGATTTAGTGGAGCTGCTATGTCAAAGGCAAATCTCACCTAGGTCAATATTTATATTTCTCCCTCTGTCGCGACGCTATCGTTTTTCGCCAACACATCCGTGAAATGAGGAAGGGGGGGGTGGAGAGATAGAGCTGACTCAGGAACCACAGGAATTCCTTGACATTCGGCCTCTCTGCCTGGAAGCCCTGAAAGAAAAGGGAAAGTAAATTTTTCAGCATGTTGAAATCGATTCCATGGAACTGGGCAGCCCAGAAGGTTACCACATTGCCCACGATTCAAATAGTATATAAGCAGAGCTGGTCTTCAAGACCGCGGCAAGATCATCGAGGAAGCAGCAGTGTCCAACCAGGTTGCCAGAAGCTCCCTGCTAACGGTAAGCCATTCGTTTCTAGATTCAGTTTGGTTTAACTGGGAAGCTATTTGAACTGCATGGCTGGATCTGTGGGTCAGCACGGTACTAGCTCACACAGCACAAAACCACTACCACAGAGGGGATGAAATGTGCCACAAAACTGGGCCTATCTACACTACGAACCTCTAAACTACTAGCCATGGCGAGTCAGGTTGCCAGCCTCCAGGTGGGGCCTGGAGATCTCCCGCTTTGACAACTGATCTCCAGCGGACAGAGATCAGCTCTCCTGGAGAAAATGGCTGCTTTGAAGGGTGGACTCCATCGCATTGTACCATGCTGAGGCCCATCCCCTCCCCAAATCCCACCCTCTCCTGGATCCACCCCCCAAAGTCTCCAGGTATTTTCGGGTAGGACAGGGAGTGGGGAGGAGTATTAGAAGCCATTGTGGAGGCAGGGCTGACAGGATCACTAAGGCGTTACTGCTGGGGCAGGCTCTCTCATGGCTTTAACCACCCTTCAACCACTGCTGTCACCTGACAGACAACTGCCTGTTAGGTGTAGGAGGTGGGGGGAGTGTGTTGGAAGCCATCCCACCTCCTCTCCTACATCTGACTGGTAGCTGCCTGTCCAGTGTAGGAGGGGGAGGGGGGAGGAGTATTAGAAGTCGCTGTGGAGGTGGGGCTGCACCTGACAGACAACCGCCTGTTAGGTGTAGGAGGTGGGGGGAGTGTGTTGGAAGCCATCAGAGAGGCTGGGCCAGCGGCTTTGCTTCACCTCACAGGTGGTTCTTGGCCACTCCTGATTTCCTCAACTGTCATTAGCTCTCTGCAGTCCCCTGTAACTGTTGGGCTATTTTTTACCTCAGAACACTGAGCTCTGCAGCTGACCAATCAGAGAGTGGGGGGTGCAGAGAGGCAGCTGCCTGGCAGCCGCATAGGAATCAATGGGGGGAGCACATTTCCCCCCTTTTGACCCACTTAGGGGTCGAATTTCTAAAAATTCCTTCTTAGCGAGGACCTACGCCACGGTAGGAGCGCTCTCAGTGGTTTGGCCTGGGCGTTGATTTTACGGTGAGGGGACTTTCTTTTATATACACATACACACACTGTTTGAACCTGCCCTGAGCCTGCTCACGGAAAGGGCTGGATATAAGTCCAAATTTAAAAAAAAATTAAATTAAAAATATAATTCCATAGAGTCCACCTTCCAAAATGGCCCTTTTCTCCAGGGCAGCTGATCTCTGTCACCTGGAGATCAGTTGGAATCCCAGGAGATCTCCTGCCACCACCTGGAGGTTGGCAACCATACGACTGTGGGTCTGTGTCTCTGCTGGGATCCCCTCCAAGGTTTCCATCCACATCAGTAGGGTTGCCATGCCAACCTCCACGTGGGGCCTGGAGATCTCCCACTTCTACAGCTGATCTCCAGACAACAGAGACCAGTTTCCCTGGAGAAAATGGCTGCTTTAGAGGGTGGACTCCCGAGGTCCCTCCCCTCCCCAAGCCCCGCCCTCTTCAGGCTTCACTCCCAAAATCTCCAGGTATTTCCCAACCCAGAGCTGGCAACCTGAAAACATCAGCCTTTTGTGTCTCTTGTCATCCACAGCGGAACAATGTTGCTGCCGTTCCTCTTCCTCATTTCTGCATCGTTTCTCCTGCCCGGGTACGGCGAGGTGGTTTCCAGTTTTGATAACTGTGGTGGCTTCTTCTTCAACGGGAGGTTCCCGAATGATGCCCTGACACCATCGAACCCGGCCTGCATTTGTCAGAAATACGAGAGCCGGTATGTCTTTGCCACCATGTACGACAGGACCAGACGCATCCCAATCTACTCTGCTTATGTTTACAATCCCAAAGCAGGACAAAGAGCTACAGACTGGATGATCGAGCCTCAGGTAACAGCACTTCTCAACTGCCTCATCTGGGAACATTCGGGCCTCTTCTAGAATTGGCTGAAATTTTCAGCTTGCAGTGTCAAGAAACCGGTCTCTTTAAACAGTTTCTCGTTCAAATTCAAAACAATGGTTCAGGCTGAGGCCTAGTAAGAGATGGTGCTTCTGTCTCTGAAACATAGCGAGCTGCTTGTGGCTTCAAAGGCTCAGATATTAAGGTGGGAGATAAGCCAGTGGCTGGTCACGCCATAAGGCCCGGTAGCTTGACAGACACAAAAATCTAGGCAGGTGCATTCCCTCTCATTATCACCTGAGCCCGGGGCTGGCCCGTAGCTAACATGGGGCCCACGGGGCCTGGCCCCCTAGTGTTTCTTCTGGGGCCCCTCCCTCCCGGGCCGCCCCCAAAGTGCTCCAACTTACCACCTGCACTGTACTTTCATTCAATTAGCTGGTGGGACCCCCAAGGCCCCCTCCCATAAAATTCCCCAGCTACGGGGCTGGCCCGGGGGGGGGATTGCCAGCCAAAAGGGCCCCCAACCCCACTGGTCCGGATCAGGCCGGCGGGGGAAATCCGCCCCCAAAGTGCCTGGTTCGGACTGACGTGCCCGGTGCAATGACATCACCCAGAAGTGACGTCATCACATTGGGCATGTTGCCGGCAGACGCTCTAGCAACCAGCCTGGAAACTCTACGGTACCATAGAATGTCCCAGGCTGGGACCAACTCTTCCCCGCTGTGCCAAGTAAGTGACTTGGCAACCCTACATGGGTGGGAGGAGTTATTTGCTCAGTTGAACCCAACATAGCTGCAGGGCATCTGGGTTAATTGGGAAACCCATCTGATTGGTCAGATCACCTGCTTAGCAGCCGGCCTGATGGTCAAGTTACATCACTTGCTATGCAGTTGACTGATTCAGGTGGGCAGCCGTATTGGTCTGGAGTAACAGAACAAAGCTTGAATCGAGTCCAGTGGCCCTTCATGGTCCGGGACCAACATATCTTCGGGACCGCCTCTCCTGGCACATCCCCCCAAAGAGCACTTAGCTCTCTAAACAACAACATGCTGATGGTACTGGGGCCAAGGAATATCTATCTGGCCTCAACAAGAGCTAGAGCAGGGGTGTCGAACTCATTTGTTATGAGAGCCGGATCTGACATAAATGAGACCTTGTCGGGCCGGGCCATGTGTGTCATAAAAGGTAATGCCAGGCAGCGGAGATATAAACTTTATAAAGGACACAAACACAAAGGGTTTTTTTTACTTAAAATAAAAACATGCTTACCTCTGTAAATTGAAAACCTACTTTTGATTTATCGACATTCACCACAGAGATCTCATGCTCAGAGTTCTGAGTCTAGGACCAAGGTTAAAACATGAAATGGCTGAGTGATTAAGAGAGTCTAGCAAAGCAAGCTATGATGCAAGAGCAGCAGCAGCAGAACTGGAAGCAGGAGATGGCCAGTTCCACTGCGGGCCTGATAGAAGCCCTCCGGGGGCCTGATCCAGCCCCCGGGCTGCATGTTTGACACCCCTGAGCTAGAGCCTTTTTGGTGGTAGCTAGGGTTACCAGGTCCATTTACCTGGCCAGTGGGGGGCTGACGTGATGAGGTCAACCAGAAGTGACATGATGACGCCGCCCAGAAGTGATGTCATCACGTCAGGGACAGCACTTCCGGTTTTACCGGAAGTAGCCCGAAAACATCAGTTGGGGGCAGGATTTTCCCCCGCCGGCCAGCTGGATGGTGGCGGGCAAGAGCTCGTCAAAGCAGGGGAATCTCCCACCCCTATTGGAGGCCTGGGAACCCTACCGGTAGCCCCAGCTTGGTGGAATGCACTCCCGAGTGAGATCCAGGCTCCGTGGGACTTGGTTCACTTCCGCAGGGCCTGCAAAACAGAGTTGTACTGCCAAGCGTATGGGTGAAGCCAGGAGAATTCCTATTTATATACTTCTGCCTGCCTTTCCTCCCCTTCCTTCCTTCCCCTGGGACACTGAAAGTATTATACGCCACCTGGTTAATTGGGAATATTGTTAAATTTATGTTTTAATTGTATTTTAAATTGCTTATGATCTGTTGTGATCCGCTCTGAGCCCCACGATAGTGGGAGAGAGTGGGAAAGAGATTGAACAAACAAACAAGTTTAACAAAGTATAAGCTGGGTATAAGCTTAGTTCCAGGAGGGCCTGAGACTTTGTCCCTTGGTCACTGGCTGTCTAGATAGTAGAAACGGGTTGGTGATGGCCCTATCCTGGGGTGTGAGGACTCACACTTCAGCTTTTTCTGGTTTTGTTCGGCTTGACCTGCCCCCTTCCAAGGGATCCTGAGTTGGGGTTTGTAATGAGTTCATGTTTTAGTGTGTGTGTTTCTTTAAATGTTTAGTCTGACTGCAGTAATGTAAGGAGAGTGAGAGAGGGAGACAAGTGTGATGTGATTGGTTGATGACTGAGGGTGTGGGAGGAGGGGTGTCTCTGAGGGGATTCTGTGTTCTTGGAAGAGATAAGTGTGGAGAGTTTTTGGTGACAGCCTGTGTGGCTATATGAGAGAGAGAGATTAGACTGAGTGTCTAAGCCTGTCAGAGTGGAGTTTTGGTGTTTGAGAGTCTGTGACTGATTTCGCACTAGAGCTGCCTCATTGCTGCGCTGCCATTTGCCCTGGTCCTATTGGTCAATTTCACACTTGAAGCCGCGGCTGATTTTGACCCGCGGCTTCGCCCGATTTCCCCTGCAGTTTCGTGATCTTGTTTTTTGAGGATCGACGAAACTGCAGAGGAAATCGGGCGAAGCCGCGGGTCAAAATCAGCCACGCGGCTTTGGGTGTGAAATTGACCAATAGGACTGGGGCAAACGGTGGCGCAACAGCGAGGCAGCTGTAGTGCGAAATCAGTCTGTGTGTGACACCAAGCTTTGCCAGTTATATTTTCTTTCTTCAACAACAGTTCAAAAATACCCAGAAACCTATTTTCTTCTCTTATAAATAAATCATTATTTGTTTAAACTTATCATCCCAGAAATCAGAACAGTCCTTCCTCAGGGCCACATAGTCCTCTGAAATGCCCAGACACTAGGTCATTCTACCAAAATAGAGAGATTTGGAATTTTTAATTCCTGGTGGCAGCAGAAATCTAACAAGTTCATGTACACAGAGTGGGTTTAAAGGAGAAAAAGTCTCCCCAATAAGCAAGGACGTCACAGCGTCCCTTGACATGCTCGTCTGGATTAAAGTTCTGCCACCAGGACTCCTGGGAACTGGCATTCAGGGCTTAATATCTGTAGAGAGTTTTCCTTTTCCCTGGGCAAATTACCGGTAATTCACAGTCCCCTTTTTTGTTCCTCCTCTGGAAAAGATTGTGAGGGGGTACCAAACCCTGTGGCACCTGACTTCGGCCACCACCCATGCTTTCCCCCTTCCTTAAACATTGCAGTCTGAACGGTGTTCGTCGAGGATGCTGTCTGGGTTGCAAAACCAGTCCCCATCACCAGGCTTGGGAGTGAGATGGTTAAAGGACCTGGGCAGCAGCATCAGACTTCTGGAAAAACCCCACATCTCATGTGGCCTTCCAGTCTTAGCAATATGCATGGGAGGGAGGGAGCCTGGAGTGTAAGGACCAGGACTTACAGATTTCGAGGCTTCCATTAAGTGCCATCATCAGGCGGTAAGTTTTTACAGGTTAGTTGCAGCCTGTTCAGGCCGAGCATTATTAATGAAAAGCACCGGGCGGCCTTGACCAGCTGGCAGAAGACGCCTTTATCCGGTTGCCAGCTAGCAATGGGGATTAACCAGCTGTGCCCTGATTGGCTGAGGGGGTCCACGGAGGCTGACAAAAGGGAGATGCTGGACAGTCTATGTGGGGGCTAACTAGTAGGACGGTGGCAGTATCAGGGAAGACCTGGGTCAATGCCTGGGAGACTTCAAGCAGAATACTAAGGGTTGTTCCAGTCAGAACGGACTCTCTTTCATAAGCCTTCCGGGGAGACAGTCAGGTTTTTATTTATTTATTTATTCAAGTATTTCTATTCGCCCCTACCCCTCGAACGGGCTCAGGGCGTCTTAGCAATATGCATGGGAGGGAGGGAGCCTGGAGTGTAAGGACCAGGACTTACAGATTTCGAGGCTTCCATTAAGTGCCATCATCAGGCGGTAAGTTTTTACAGGTTAGTTGCAGCCTGTTCAGGCCGAGCATTATTAATGAAAAGCACCGGGCGGCCTTGACCAGCTGGCAGAAGACGCCTTTATCCGGTTGCCAGCTAGCAATGGGGATTAACCAGCTATGCCCTGATTGGCTGAGGGGGGCCACGGAGGCTGACAAAAGGGAGTTGCTGGACAGTCTATGTGGGGGCTAACTGGTAGGACAGCGGCAGTATCAGGGAAGACCTGGGTCAATGCCTGGGAGACCTCAAGCAGAATACTAAGGGTTGTTCCAGTCAGAATGGACTCTCTTTCATAAGCCTTCCGGGGAGACAGTCAGGTTGTGAGTGTGCTCCCACAGAAGGAAGTCTGCAAGTATTTGGTGATCTAGAGGCTTGCCCTCTGCCCAGCACAAGTGGTTGGGGTTTCTTTTCTGCGATCTTTTTTTTTTTGCTGTCTTGAGAGTGATTCTTGCTTAGCAAACACTCTTGTTATTTGTACGAGCGAATAAATGCAGGAGAGTACTTGCCGAATTTACATCCTCAAAGGGAACCCAGAAGCTAAAAAGCCTCTACAGCGACCAGGACTTAGTAAGACCCCCAAGGGCCCCAGGTGGCTGTGAGTTCAGGGCCTGAGAACGGGAGAGGGGTTGTCCTTGGTCCAAAAATGGAGACATGACCGTTTGGGGCTTGGTCTCCAGTGGACCATAAAGCCGGGCTACAGTATAGGGATGCTGGACCATGGCCTGGCACCCCTGGAAGAATTTGGGTGAATAAGGAGGAGTTAAGCATTCAGTGTTGTTATCAGGCTCTTCCGCATTCTCACTTGTTGGGTCCCCCCCCCCCCGTTCTGCATATGTTTAGCTCCCTCTAGTGGCTGATTTTATATTTTATCACTTTATGTCCGGCATAAGAACCTGCAAATACTCACAGGTTTTTATAGATCCAGTTGGTCAGCCCAGGGCCGGCTCACCCGCTAGGCCAACTAGGCATTCGCCTAGAGCGCCAGGCCCTGGATGGGGCGGCGGGCCCTGGATGGGGGTGCCGAAGTTCGCCTCCCCCCGCCAAAAGCCAGTGCCCATCCCTGAGGCTCCCCTCCGCATCCCTCCACGTCCTTCCCGCCTGCCCGGACCCTCTCCAGCGACCCATGACCGGCGGAGAAAGGCGCCGGCAGAGTGGGTGCATGAAGAGGGGAGCCCGCACCAGGGCTGCGCTTGCTGCCGCCTGCCGGGGGAACCAAGGCCGCCGGAGCTGCTGCAGGCGCCACTAGGCAGGCTGTAAGCGCACCCTGCAGAAAGAAAGCGCTGCGGCCTCAAGTTTGCGCACTGGGGAGGGGAAGGATTGTGTGAATCATTCCCGGAACCTGGAGTTCCACCACCAGCTACCCTCTGGGAAACTCGGGCGACGGTGGTCCCCTCCAGGGCCCATGCGCACGGGGGGGGGAGGCGAAATGCCGCTGTCGCTTGGCCCCCGGAGGCCGCGACCTCTCCACCGGCTCCACCCTCCGGGGCTCCCCTCTTCATGCGCTCGCTCTTCCCTGGGTCAGCCATGTTGGTTTGAAGCTGTAGAACAAATGTAGAGTCCAGCAGGGCACCTTTAAGACCAACAAAGGTTTACTCAACAAAGCTTTCAGTGAGGTTCAAACTTACAGCCAGAGAATGAGCAGCAAATTAGCATGTGACATGATGATGTTCCAGATATGCAAAGCGAAAACTAAATTGAAAGGCCAGAAGGAGGAGGGGACGTTCTAGGGCTGAGAAGCAGCAGTCCTTCTACTAAACTGGAAGACCTGGTGTGTGTTTTTTTTTGGGGGGGGGGGAG